TCTAACATTTTCTCAAATGTAGGAGCTGAGCGACATGACAGCGATTAAAGCAGAAGATATACTAAGCACCCTTCAGAGCTTGGAATTGATACAGTACAGGAAAGGACAACACGTGATCTGCGCTGATCCTAAAGTACTGGACCGACATTTGAAAGCTGCAGGTCGAGGTGGTCTTGATGTAGACGTTAGCAAAATGATATGGACTCCTTACAAAGAGCAGAGCTAAAGAGTAAGAGCCATTGCAATGATATGGACTCCTTACAAAGAGCAGAGCTAAAGAGTAAGAGCCATTGCATTTCAAATGGGCACGGTCTTCCTTCAGTTTGCAGATCGTTTTAGGTGACTTTTGTGTGTAATACTTTTAACACAACTTTGTTCAGTCGATCTTCTTGTCGGAATTGTGATAACAAGATAGTATACTTTAATTAATTGTAGCAAAAAAAGTTAGGATTGCAAATTAATTTGAACTCAATACATTTAGATCTTGGTTCTTGAAAAGGTTACTAAATATATCTGTTAAATGATATCATTTTCTCCATAAAATCACAAACAAGTTTCAAATTCCAAATGAAACAACAAAAAACTTCATGTTTGGTTAGTGTTCTTTGTGCTCCTTTGAACTGCAAATGCACTCAGGGTATGGATTCTCATAAAAGGCTTCTTCAGTTCTAAACCTAGCTCGTCCTTTAATCCCCTGTGCTGGTCCATTCCTTCTCCTCGGTGCACCTTGCCTGCAAAACAGATCCAAATTATCTTAACGGTTATTGCATTCAGTAATTTCAATGACTTGTATAAGAAGCAAATGTATGATTCTTTAATTACCTATCTTGATGCATTGCCTTTACAAGATTCGAAAACTTTGCTCCCTCTTTTATCTGTCCTCTCTCCACCTTATTGAATAGCTTCACTAGTCCTTTCCTGCAATACAAAGACAAAAACTAGTCATAGGCTGTGTAACAGAATGAGTAAAAAAACAAAAGGCTTCTTGAAGTTAAAGATCAAACCTGTCTGGAGTGATTGTCCTACGATGCCCAAGAAACCTGCGGTGACCTTCAACAGCTCTTGCCATGTTTCCAGAATGTGAAGGAACAAACACATCACTCTCCACAGATATTATATAATCAAGAGCAGCTGTTTTAGTTGCATGGCCTGTGAAACCTTTTAACTCTTCTTCCCCAGCAAGCATTTCCTACAAAACTCAGTACATCAGTAACATGAGAGATTAAGAGAGAGAAAGGTGTAACTAAACAAACCTTGAAGACTAGATTAGGGAAGCGAGATTTAAGCTCCAAGAGTCTATCATCACCACCATAGATCTCCCCTGCTGCAATATAAATGACTGTTGACTCAGGATAACCAAGACCTTTCAAGAAAATCCCCACTTCTTTTGGAGTCAATGGACATAGCCCTTCCTCTCTCTGCTCTGTTGAGTTTATACTTTTGATCTTCCAATGGCTTGTACTCTCCCTGTGATCAAATCAAATAACAAATTGACGCAACTTTTCATGTTTGTGTTGAGAATAGATGCACAAGAGAGTAATCTGTTACCTCATAACTCTGAGTTCTTCAGATTCAGCATCAGTGAGACCATAGGTACATCCAGTGAAAGCCAACATGTCTTTCTCATATCTCAGATGCAACGCAATGAACCTCCCAGCACGTGACTTGAGTCTCTCAACCAGCTTCTGTGGGTGTCACCGTCATGATTGCTCAGAACCCAAAGTCTACAGGAATCCCCCATAGGACACCTCTTAAACGGCATTAAACTACTAAGACTATTCTGTACTCTAAAGATACACGATCTTGTATGTATGCAAATGAATCATCTTTTCACTACAACCTATATATGTAGTAACAAGTTAACAAGAATGTACAAACCTGTCCAAGGCTTTCAATAGCAGGAGAGAAGCGAAGACCACGGTACAGCACACGACATCTCAACCTCTGAATATCAATAGGGAGATCATTGTTTGCAAGGCGAGAATCTGATTTCGCCACATGGATGACCTTGTACTCCTTCCACAAGTGTCTCATTTCTTCATAGTATCCAACACTAGCCCATGAAGAGAAATGCTTCCTTGCCCTAGGTAAAGACTCCACTTCCTTTGGTAGCTTCTTAATAACCTTCACATCTCTCCCCAGAGACTTGATGAAATGCTCCTCGTCGAAAATATCTGAGAAAACACTGAGGCATATAGTGAAGTAAGAGTTAGCAAACAGAACAAAATCTCATTAACTAAGTAAACTAAGATCCAAAAAAATAGAATACCTTGAGTCTCTCCAAAAGGACCTCTTGTCCAGCTCAGGAATCACTAAAGTAGCATTCATGATGTGTGCAACAGCCACTATATCAGCTATCTGTAAGAACAATAACATATGCTTATTCACTCACACTATTCATAGTAAACAATCATATGACAACAACAACATCTTAAATGGTTTATAGTTTAGTGTTTTACTTACACCAGTACGCATTTGATTCAGTCCACCATTACTTCTCACTGTTATATAACGATCTGATTCCACAAATTCTACAAAAAGATAAAGGAAGCTAGTGTTTAAGACCAATCCTGTAATGAAAATCAAATCAAATCATAACAAAACCCTCTATTAAAGACAGTACCTTTATATCTAGGACTAGGTTTAACACAAGGATGCAAACCATAGCTAAAAGGAGGAATCCAAAGCTGAGAATCCAAATCCAAATCATCACTTGGTTTCTGCAAATTCTGAAAGATCCAAAAAAAAAAAAACAAATCAAAGACACTTCATTTCTTCATCTAAATCAAAAACCCAGTAAGAGTTTAGAAACCAATCATACCTTCCTTGGATCTCGATGTTGGGTTTGGTCATCGTTTTGTATGTTTATGGAGCTGAAGACGAAGACCCATATGGTGAAAGCGAATATGATGATCAAGTAGACAGAGATAGCTTTTATGGAGAAGAGTCTAGCTGAAGAAGAGGTTGTTGAGCGAGATGAGCTTCTGTGTTTCACCATTTCTCTAAGGAAGAAGACAGATCTACAACGGTCTCTTTCACTCCGAACATTAAGCTTTCTTGCTTGTTCAAAACCGGTTCGGTGTCTGTATTACCGGAAATTTGAGTTTGATCGTGTCCGGTTATGGGAGTACCGGTTTTTAATTACTCCCTCCGTTTTATATTAAGTGTCGTTGTAGAGAATTTTTTGTGTTACAAAATAAGTGTCGTTTTCGGTTTTCAATGTAAAGTTTATTAATTTTATTATGTAATTTGTTTTTCTATTGGTTAAAATATGGTTAGGTGTATGGGTAATTGTGTTTTTATATAGGAAATATGTAAAATTAATTGTTTCCTTAATCCGTGTGCATAGCTGTAGAGTGACACTTATATTGAAACAGATGGAGTATTATAACGGTGTCATTTCTTAGAACCGTAAACGCACGTGGCACGTTTCAAGCGCGCACCGGTTTGCTATCAATTTTACTGTATTCCCAGAATTTGATGATCGTACCGGTTCTCTTATCAAACGCACCGTTTCAAAATTATACATATCAACACAGATCAAAAGAATAACATTAGCAGTTTTGTTTCGCTTTTATATACGGTAGAATCTATATAGATTAGTAATATTAAGATTTTAAAATTTTATTAATTTATATATAAAATTTTATTTATATAAAATATGTATATGTATAATTATTAATTTATAATTTTAATAGGACTACATATTTATATAATTTTTAAAAAAAATATCTTGTTATTTTATTGATTGTGTCAAATTATAAACTGATTCAAATTGAAACCGACAAAATTTATTAGTTTATAAAAATTATTATTTTAATGAATATTAATTTATAGAATTTCTATTAAATCCTCTTATGTTGTGTTTTATGCAGACTCAAATCTATCAGTGATAAGACATGGAAGCTATTGAAGGAGAATATGTGTTATAATTTTCGTTCTAAACAAAGAAATATATTATTTATTTAGCAATAGAAGGTAGAAGTTGTAACTTTTTCTTGTTACTTGAGTGAAGTTAGGCCAATGAATGAACAAGTTGCTTATATTCCAAGTGATCTATAGTGAAAGGTATAACTTTCACTATATGAAAAATAAACAAAAAGGAATCATATGTTCATTTATTTTGCCGAGAACTGGTCCATGGGGCCTATGTATCTTGCTATATTCTTCTTCACTCAAGCATATCGACAAATAATAATTTGTTACTACACATTTGTACAAGACTGTACACTGATTTGGATTTTACAGCGTGGAATACAAGGAAGCCTTAAGATCATATTTTTGAAATACTATATCTATATCCTAGTACTGTCATCAAATTAACTAAACACACATAAAGCCTTTATCTAAGTTAAATTTGATGTGAATGAAGTAATATAATGCTAGTGAATCACGCGCATGAAAGAGCCTTAAAGAATAAAGAGACAGACTGTCATGCAAATAGAAACAACAAGTGTGGGAAAACATTAAGATTCACGGACTCGAAACAGAGAATGCAAGCAACTTGCACTATGAAGCTCGACAACCTTTACCATTTGATAAATAATACGACACCGTCACGGGTCACTACCAAACACTCTTGCTTATTGGGATCTATGATTCCTTTCTCACGTTTCTTTTCTCCTTTGAGAAAAATAATTATTTCAATAATCATTAAATATAAGGTATTTATACGGGCATGCAGAAGAGATAACTAAAACAGTTTTATACGTTGAATATTCTTTGTGCACTTATGTATAAAGCTAAAAGTTAAAAACCCACTCGCATGCAAGATTCGTTATACTAAAAAGTTTACAAAGATGAAAGAACAGAGGTCATAAATACTAACACTATCCACATTATAGACCGTATGGTCCGAATCATTATTTCTTTCCTCGAACACCGTATCAACTTTTTTTTACATAATCTCAACTATAATAGGACCAAAAGATATATTCAAGGTAATAATACATGCCTAGATTATTATTTATATAAACCACAGTCTTCACTGAACGTAGTAGCTCATTACTATATAAATAGTATCGTTAAATGCAAAGAAAACATCCCAAGAATCGAAAAACACAACACAATGGTCTCTTCTTCTCCACTAACAAGGCGAAACAGAGCACTATCCTCTGTTTTTCTTATCTTTCTCTGTTTCTCACATTCATCTAACGCTCAAACCAAGCCGGTTTTTGCCTGCGATGTCGACACAACCCCATCTCTCGCCGCTTACGGGTTCTGCAACACTGTTCTGAAGATGGAGTACCGAGTCGCTGATCTTGTCGCGAGGCTCACGTTACAAGAAAAGATAGGGTTTTTAGTGAATAAAGCTAACGGCGTGTCTCGGCTTGGTATTCCAACTTATGAATGGTGGTCGGAAGCACTTCACGGCGTTTCTTACGTCGGACCCGGCACGCATTTCTCTAGCCAAGTTCCTGGCGCTACGAGCTTTCCGCAGGTCATACTCACCGCCGCTTCTTTTAACGTATCTCTGTTTCAAGCCATTGGCAAGGTAAATTGATTTTTGAAATTTTATCCTTTTTTGTTTCTCTTTTTTGGATAATGTAAAACTACCTCCTTTGGACATCTCCGACTCCACTCTGAAATGAGAAGAGAAGCTCTACCTCTAGACGGAAAATGATAATATTTAGTTTAAAGAGTTTCTTGGTAAAAAAATAAAGATAAAAAAGCTAATTTTGTATTTCAAAATTTGTTAATTGATCATTTGCAATAACAATGATGTTTAAGTTGTAATATATTTTTGATATATGTAATGTAATTTTAATATAATAAATGTTTTATAAAAGTATATAATTTAAGAAAATTTTGTGAAAATAAAACATAAAGGATCAAACTGTAAATTCTTATAAGTAAAATATATTAATATAAAATGAATATATTTAGGATAGAGCTAGATATAAAGTAGATCATTGGAGAGAAACTTTTTTGTTTTAGTGTCAGTCCCGGTGTAGCAAGTTTAGATGGGCTAAGCAAACATTTGATAGCATAATTTTTACATTTTTTCTAATAATCATATATAAATATATCTTATAAAATATCATACTATTTTTAACCAATTCAACTGCATTAATAATTACTAATGATAAATGTATAAAGTTAATTGTATATATATATATATATATATATATATATTTGTTAATAACATGATCAATATTTTGATTATAATCAATCATAATTCACTATAATCAATTGCTAACACAAATCACACATTTAAAAATAAATTTTTATTTAAATTTTATATAATTTTAACTTATATTTTTATTAATTTTTACTTATACTTTTCTATAATTTTATTAAAGTTTACATATAAAAATAATTTATAGTAATAATAATCCTAAAACAGTAGTTTTGTTTATATAACTTTATTTTATCTCATAAATGCAACTAGACCTCTTGTTTTTCTTTTACGTATGAGACAAGTAACCACTTTTCAACAAGTTCGTATTCGTACATTTTAAATCAGTCAGGCTTAGGATAAACCAGACTGAACACACAAAAATTTGTTGGATGACATTGTTTATAACTCATTTGTTAAGGTCGTGTCTACGGAGGCGAGGGCAATGTATAACGTTGGATTAGCTGGTTTAACCTATTGGTCCCCAAACGTAAATATTTTCCGAGATCCTAGATGGGGAAGAGGACAAGAGACTCCCGGAGAAGATCCATTGCTTTCTAGCAAGTATGCTTCAGGATATGTCAGGGGTCTCCAAGATACTGACAGCAGCGATGCTAACCGCCTTAAAGTAGCGGCGTGCTGCAAGCATTACACAGCATACGATGTCGATAACTGGAAAGGCATAGAACGTTACAATTTCAATGCAGTGGTACGTAAAGACTCAAGACGTTGATGTTATTACCAAACAAAAACATATTTTCAGTGTTTTGTACTATTAATTTTGTCAGAGTTAGTGTATGTTTGATTGGGCTTTGGAGACTTGGATGATATATAGTTTGGTCTTGTGGTATTTGGATGATTTGTTATGACGTTTTGTCACTGACCTATAGACATATTTAATTATGCACTAACGGCTTGTTTATCATGTGTTTATTATGTTTGAGTAGGTGAATCAACAAGATATGGATGACACATATCAACCACCGTTCAAGAGCTGTGTAATAGATGGTAATGTGGCGAGCGTTATGTGTTCTTACAATCAAGTTAATGGTAAACCAACATGCGCTGATCCGGATCTCCTTGCTGGTGTTATCCGCGGTGAATGGAAGTTAAACGGGTAATAATCGGATCCGACCAACCGGTTTAGAGTAAAAGAATTGAGTTCTATCTTATTTTGAGTTTTTTTTTGTTCTTAGGTACATTGTTTCGGATTGTGATTCAGTAGATGTGTTGTACAAGAACCAACACTATACCAAAACACCAGAGGAAGCTGCAGCTATATCTATCAATGCAGGCTTAGACTTGAATTGCGGTTCGTTCTTGGGTCAACACACAGAAAACGCGGTTAAGTCCGGTTTGGTAAACGAGACAGCTATCAATAAAGCGATCTCAAACAACTTTTTAACCCTTATGCGTTTAGGCTTCTTCGATGGAGATCCAAAGAAGCAAATCTACGGTGAGTTAGGTCCTAAAGACGTTTGCACACCAGCGAACCAAGAGCTAGCCGCAGAAGCAGCAAGACAAGGCATTGTCCTACTAAAAAACACTGGCTCCTTACCGCTCTCTCCTACAACAATCAAAACCTTAGCCGTGATTGGACCAAACGCTAATGTCACAAAAACAATGATCGGAAATTACGAAGGCACGCCGTGCAAATACACAACACCGCTCCAAGGATTAGCCGCGACCGTACCAACAACATATCTACAAGGATGTTCAAACGTGGCTTGCGCCGTGGCGAATGTAGAAGTTGCCACGAAGCTAGCCGCGGATGCGGATGTGACGGTGTTAGTAATGGGTGCTGATCAGTCTATAGAGGCAGAGAGCCGTGATAGAGTTGATTTGAATCTTCCTGGACAACAACAAGAGCTGGTGGCACAAGTGGCTAAAGCTGCTAAAGGACCTGTTGTGCTTGTGATCATGTCTGGAGGAGGTTTTGATATTACGTTCGCTAAGAATGATCCGAAGATCGTTGGAATCTTGTGGGTTGGTTATCCTGGAGAAGCTGGTGGTATAGCCATCGCTGACGTTATCTTTGGCCGTTATAATCCAAGTAACACTCTGTTTTTCTTATAACTGAATTTAAACCGGTTTTAACCGGTGAGTTTTTTTTTGGTCAACATTAACCGGTGAGTTTTGTTATTTAGGTGGGAGATTACCGATGACGTGGTATCCACAATCCTACGTGGAAAAAGTTCCGATGACGAATATGAACATGAGACCCGATACATCAAACGGGTATCCGGGTCGGACCTACCGGTTCTACACGGGAGAAACAGTTTACTCATTTGGTGATGGACTCAGTTACACCAAGTTTAGCCACAGCTTAGTCAAAGCTCCTCCACGTGTCGTCTCTCTACGTCTTGAAGAGAGTCACGTTTGCCGATCATCTGAATGTCAATCGTTGGAAGCGGTTGGACCGCACTGCGAGGGCACTGTGTCTGGTTTCGAGGTTCATGTTAAGGTGCGTAACGGTGGAGATAGAGAAGGGATTCACACGGTGTTTTTGTTCACGACGCCGCCGGAGGTTCATGGTTCGCCGAGGAAGCATCTTTTGGGGTTTGAAAAGATTCGTTTAGGGAAGATGGAAGAAGATGTGGTGAAGTTTAAGGTTGATGTCTGTAATGATTTGAGCGTTGTTGATGAGGTTGGGAAGAGGAGGATTGGTTTGGGTCAGCATCTTCTCCATGTTGGTGACTTGAAACATTCTTTGAACATTAGACTCTGATTATTCTAATGGATTTTAGTTTTTTTGGATTAAAATGAAAAAAAAATTGTAAACATGTTTAAGCTTATGCAAGTTGGAATAAAAATGAAAATTGTGAAATTTAGTATTTTCTTTAAATTATTTTTGTTAAAAATTGAAAATTTAAAGTCATTTTCATGGCAGTGATTACCATGTTACAGAATATAGGATAGTTTGAGTATATAAAACTACCATTTGATATATATATATATATATATATATATATATATATATATATAATTTTTAGACGAATAATAGTATGGTAATTCAGGTATGTAAAATCTTTACTTGCATTCTATTAGATTTGGGTTTAGCTAGTTTAGGTATTCTTGTACTTGTATTTACTTTGAATATAATTGTGTAGTATGGTATAGTAATTCAGGTATGTGAAATCATTATAACAGATTTAATTTGGTCTAGCTAGTTTGTATATATTATATTATCGCAATTAACTTTAATTTTCTATATACATGTATAGTTTTAAGAAATAATATATTTTTGAATCATTTGGTTTGGTTACCGACTAGCCGTAACCAACCCGAAAAGATCCGGATATTTGGGTTGGTTACGGTAACAAGTAACATCATCAACGGCTTTTTACGGTTATGTCCGGTTGGATTTGAGAAAATAGATTACAACTAATCACGTCTCTTTATATTTAATCTGAAACTGTTAAAAACTTTCCGGACAAAACACAAACAAAAACCAAACCTTCCAAAAAAGAGCTCCAAAAAAAAAAAAGCAAATCTTTTTTAATGAAAAAGGAGCAGACAAGACGAAGATTCGCTTTAGGGTTCTGTCTCCTCCTCCCTCAAATTCGTATGAACACTTGATCAATAAAGGTCAGATTCTCTTCTTCCTTTCTCTCTTTTTTTCTCCTCAAATAAATTCGCGTGAGGTTAACGGTGGTGGTTGAATTTTTGCAGAAGACGGCGTGGAAGTGGAACGGTGTTTTATTTTTATTTTCCTTCAGACATGGCGCATAATAATAACGTGAACGTGGTTGCGACGAAGACGAAGCCTCAATCTTGGATTAGTATAGTGGCGACGGGAGAGAGTGAGGCGCTTGATGTTGATAAGTATGCTATCATGCACCGTGTCCAGATCCACGCTCGTGATCTTCGGATTCTTGACCCCAATTTATCTTACCCTTCCACTATTCTTGGCCGTGAGAGAGCCATTGTCCTCAATTTAGAGGTTTTGATTTTTCTTCTAATTTTTTTTTGGTTCAGACATTTGTTTTCTCTGTTTCTATGTTTGGTTTCACTGTGTGATTATTTGTGTGTGTGTGTGTGGTGATGCAGCATATCAAGGCAATTATCACTTCTGAAGAGGTTTGTTTTTTTCTTGATTCTTTTTGTGTTAATGTTCAAGAAATTGCTAGGCAGTAATTAGTTTGTTTTATAAAGGATTAGCTTCATGACTTGCCTTTATGCTATTGGTTATGTCCAATTGTGTCAGTGTTCAAAAATTGCTAGGCAGTAATTAGTATCTTTATAAAGGATTAGCTTCAAGACTTTCAGCTTATGACCGATTGTATCAATGTTCAAGAAATTGCTAGCCGGTGATTCCTTTTTTTTTATAGAGGATTAGCTTTGAATTAAATGAAACCTTAGACCATGATTAACCTCAGTCTCTTAATCGGGGTTCTTAGCTTCGGCTATGAGACAGTTCTTAGCTTCGGCTAAGAGATGGTTCTTAGCTTTTCTTAGAACAATCTCTTAAATAAGATAATAAGAGAAATAAAAGCCATCTTTTAGCTGAAAAGTGTAAAAAATAAAATGTCAAAAATCATGAGATAAGAATCCCGGCTAAGAGACCGGGGTTAATCATGTTCTTATCTCATCTTTTATTAGTAACTTGATTTCATTACAGGTTCTGCTCAGGGATCCATCAGATGAACATGTTATTCCTGTCGTGAAGGAGCTTGAAAGACGCTTACCTGTTAGAGACGAATCACACCATGGTCAAGGAGATGGTAAAGAGAGCTCAAATGCACATAATGACGCTGACGCTGGTGATGAAGACGGTACTATACTATCCTCCACAAGCTTTTATCTTTTTAGAACATTCTTTTTGGTTTATTGAAACATCTAGTTGTTGCATTATAGAATCACCATTTGAGTTTCGGGCGCTTGAAGTTTTCTTGGAAGCAATCTGTAGCTTCTTAGCTGCAAGAACAACAGAGTTAGAAACAGCTGCTTATCCTGCTTTAGACGAACTCACCTCAAAGGTAAGGCACACTCAACGTTTAGTATCACCAGTGATTCAGTTCTTAACAGTTTTTTAGATTCATCTTGTAGATTAGTAGCCGTAACTTGGATAGAGTTAGGAAGCTGAAGAGTGCCATGACTCGGTTAACAGCTCGAGTTCAAAAGGTAAGAGATGAGCTTGAACAGTTGCTTGATGATGATGATGACATGGCGGATCTTTACCTTTCAAGGAAACTCTTTAGTGCTTCCTCAGCATCCACTAGTCCAAACTACTATCTTACTTCCCCAACAATAGGCTCTAAGATCTCAAGAGCAAGTAGAGCGAGTCTAGCCACGATTCGTGGTGATGAAAATGATGTTGAGGAACTTGAAATGTTGCTGGAGGCATACTTCATGCAAATCGACAGCACTTTGAACAGATTAACAACAGTTATGTCTTTTTATGTCTTTTTGATTGTTTAAAACTGTTCTTCCAGCTCTCAATTATTTTATTTTATTTTGTTTGATGCAGCTACGTGAGTATATCGATGACACAGAGGATTACATTAATATTCAGGTAACCAAAAACTAATCCTTTTTTCTTGAAATCTTAATCTCCTAATCTAAAATCCTTTTTTTACAGCTAGACAATCATCGTAATCAGCTGATTCAGGTGAGTGAATTAGTGTTGAATTTTTCTATCAATCTTCTTGAGGTTATCTTCTTGATTATCTTCAAAAACTTTGCAGCTGGAGCTTGTGTTAAGTTCTGGAACTGTTTGCTCATCATGTTACTCTCTCGTCGCTGGAATATTCGGAATGAACATTCCATACACATGGAATGATAACCATGGATACATGTTCAAATGGGTATGTAACCAAGTTTTTGAGTTTTGCTTGATAAAGACACACTAGTTAAGTAAATTTTAGGACTGATTGTAACTCCGGTTTTGTTGTTGCAGGTAGTGATTGTTACTGGGATGTTTTGTGCAATCTTGTTCGTGTTCATAATGTCGCACGCTCGGTACAAAGGGCTTGTGGGATCTTGATGGGTGGATTTGGGTAAAGATATTCTTATGGCTATAGGAAGTTAAAGAAATACATTGAGACTTGTGTAATTGTAAAGATGAGCTTGACTCTTCTCTATATACATTATTCCCTTACACTCATATATCATATAAACCAAAGTTTTTTTTTATAAGGCAATATGTGGTTTCTATTTTAGTTTCTTCATGATTTAGAATGAACTTCTACAAACTGTGTATGTACAGATGATTGTTACATTTCTGAAATTATTATTCCAGAAACAACAAGCTTTTAGCCCATGATTGCATTCAATAATCATGGTTTATGTTATGTGGTTTCTATTTTAGTTTCTTCATGATTCAGAATGAACTTCTACAAACTGTGTATGTACAGATGATTGTTACAGTTGTGAAATTGTTATTCCAGAAACAACAAAACCATGAAAACTCACAACCAAACTATACAATCATTGTTTGTCCCATGACACTATTTCCCAGCTTAAAATCTTCCTTTGTATCTTTTTTTTTTAATTATTTATGTGTGCAATGTGCTTGCATCATACATGAGTCAGTGCTTGTTAAGCAAGCACCCACTGAAATACAATAGAAAAAAGTGAAAAATATAAAAATAGATGTAGAAAGACAATGTTGCTTGGCTCGGCAACACAAGACAACTATTTCTAAACCCAATCAAAGATCTATAGGCTATAACTTGGAGAAAAAGGCTCTCGATTGCCAAACACTTATAAATAATTAAAAAAACACCAATCCTACTACCCGAAACTAGATCAGGTTTAGGCCACACGTACATAAAATGTAGAGGTCACACTATGTACTTCAACAGCATTTGCTTATTTTATTTGAACTTTTAAAATTTTTTATTCTAAAACTTTTTTGCTGTCTTTATAACTTATTATCACCATAAAATATTATTACACAAAAATATTTTCCAAGCTGCCTGCTTGCCTCTTCCATCTAATATGGGAGAGAAGAAGAATTCTTATTTGTTGATTAAAATTAAAAATCATACTATAATATAACCTTTCAAGAAAGAAAGAGCAAACGAAAAAGTTAGTTTGGTCTCTATAACTTTTTAAACACACTATAAGCCTTTCCCCATGATTATTTGCCAACATGGGGGGCTTATTTTTTTAAGTCACATTTGCATGCATCCAGTGGTAACATAATCATTACTATTTTCCACTTCTTAAATACAAAAACGTTCTAATGCTTTGGATCTTGTTAGTCAAAACTCTAATCCTTTCTACCAGTAAAGATATAGTTAAGTTATAATATTGTTCAAAGGATGCGAAGTAGGCTGAAAATTCATCCCAGGCTAGTATATGTGGCTTTCCTCCAAACCTTCAATATAAAAAAATGGTAAACCATTCTCTGAATAAAGAATGTGAAAATTTCGATGGCCGCATGATGTGTTAATCTGAATGTAGACAGATTCAAACTCAGGTTCCATAGAATTCATAGAACGCTATGCTACCATCCATCCACATACACATGGTTACTAACCTTCGGTATATTAGGCAAATGATATTTTAGTTTAAAGTTTTATTGGGAACTCTACAGTAACCAATAATTTTATGTTATGATTGAATTGAGAATAAATCTTATATATGATCACACCATATTGTTTCATTGGTTTATCTAAACATTATAAATTTCTGTGAGTTATTATTGTGAGAGTTTTTTTTCTTTTTTTTTGGCAACTATTGTGAGAGTTATTATTCCAAATTAAACATAACTAGTTCAGTATTAAAATTTTATATATTGGAATTTTAAGAAAATAAAATACAACAAGACTAGAGCTTCTTCCCTTTTGTTTTGCTTCTTGCTTGCAAATTGGGATTGCTATTAATCTCACAACACATAACTTGTAAGAATGATGTCATTCTCATTCTCCTTTTTCTTTTTTTTTCTTTTTGATACAAAGATTTTTGAAATAATTTCCCACTAAACCTTTTTCTTTTTGGGTGCTTCTGTCCTCATTACGGTAAGCTTACTTCGTCAAGATCATCTAAAGACAAAAACACTTCATCCAAACATGAGAGTTCTCCCCCATCATCATCCTCTTCCTCACTGCAATTTTGTTCATACACTCTGCATATCACCCACTTGCTATAATCCTGCACACAATGATCCATGCCACGTGGATGTCAATTTCTAATTTTAGGTTAATTAAAAAAAACTTCAAATTTAAGCAAGAACAGCGTTAGAATTTTTGGAATTATAGACAGTTCAGTAAGATTTATTTATTTATTTTTGTTACATATTTGGTGACCTATTTTTATGTAATTATTTTGAAAATTTTAGGGACCATAGATCAATGTTTCACTTGCTTATATGTGCATGCCTGGCGCTGAATTTAAATTGTAGGCTTATGAAACAAAATAGGGAACTTACGGGTTTACGACTAGAACTAGTAGAACCACGACTTGATCTCTTAGAAGATGAATCAGGGAGGGAGTATTCTTGCATGACCCAGTTAGTCTGAGAATCTCCAAGATAGAAAGTTAAATACTTTTTGATACCCACTTTCTTGTGTGTGGAGCTTGTGAAGACTGGCTCGTCTATTCCCATTGATCCCCAATAACCATTGCTTGTCACTCTTTCTTGTGTTTTTCTACTATAGAAGTACCATTGCCTCCCTTCTCCCAAAGCTTTACCTATGATCATACGTTAAAAAAAATAGTATAAGATAAAATAGTCAGTAGCTTATTAACATGTCTACGTACAAGTTTTGGTGTGTGTGTAATATTTGTATATGATTGAAAAATTTGAATGTGTTTTTCTATCATGAGATTGAATGATTGATAACGTGCACATGTATATGAAGAGAGCAATACTAATTATGGTTCACCAATTAATAGGTTCCTTCTAAGAGAAAAAGGAAACATATTAGGTAGAGATTGATACTATTAGGTATTTGTGTGCATGTAGGGTAAGATTTTTAGAAACAAAAGCAATCCTTAAAAAGAGCAACACAACAAAAGTCTACTGCTAGAAAAAAAAGACAGATTGGTTACTTAGCTGGTGACAACAATCAATCTGTCCTTTAATATAGAGTATCACACACACAATGATATTGTCAACTCACTACAAGAAAACACAATATATTCCGACGAAGGTTCCGACTTTCCGACGAACATAAAAGTGCTATACATGTAGCATGATACACACTCGCATGCATGTATACATAGATTGAATCAATTATGAACATATTGCATGATACTGACATGCATGGAGAAGGAGATATATGTGGATACATACCGGGAAGGTCCCAAGGATCATAAGGGTAAAGATCAAGGTCGGGGATGACGTCAGGATGACAAGGCAAGAGTGAAGCTTTGCGTTGGAGGAAGTGGACGACGAGCTCTTCATCCGTTGGAAAGAATCTGAATCCCGGTGGTAGATTCATTGGTAACGATATTGATCTCAGGATACTAGTTCACATGTACATACACAAACATGTGGTTGCAAGTGTGTAAGAAGATTAAATATGGAGAGAGTAGATATATAGAGACGAAGATGATGTGGAACCGGAGGAAGTGTGTAGGAAGTTGAGGTATATATATAGTAGGAGATATATATATGGAAAGAAGATTAAGGACTAGGAAGTCATACACTTTTTTATACATGACTTCTTTAATTCATTCACATTAAATTAACACCTTTATTTTTATTTTTAAATTATTAAATAATTAAGGAAAACATAGGAGAATGATGGTAACATGGAAGCAAATAAAGCAATGGAACTAAGAAGAGAGGAGTAAGTAATCGATGTCAAAGGGGGCATTTGAAAGCTTATTTTCCGAGAAGTCGTCTTAAGTGGATCTTACAATTTTGGCTGCTGTTTTTTTTTTTTACTTTTTGTTAAAGTGTTTTTTTTTTCATTTTATTTTGCATTGATTTGATTATTTATATGTTATCTTAGTAACCAAGCATAGATACACAAAAATTACAAACAAAATGTATACATTTCCACAACGCAGTAGAGTCTTTTAACCGATTAGAAATTTTCTAAAAGGGTGGAAAATGGGACTGAACCAAACACATGTGAAATTTATTAATCAATTAATATATTTAATAAGTAAAACTTGAGAGAAAGGGGCAGGCGGAAACGAGAGGTGGGCAGGATTGGATACTTCCACGCAAAAGGGGTATCTTCTTTCTTCTTCCTCGCCACTAAGAAGAAGATTCTTATCCACTTGTTCTTACTTATGTTACCATTACATATTTTTTTTGAACTAAAACGGGTTAAACACAGATTTATTAAAAATACAAACCTGATTTTTGGATGGAGGTACAACCTACGAATATACTCTCTTCTGGACATTCAAAACATAACACTAGCAAAAAATGTAAGACGTCATAGACTCATGGTATATATATGCTAAGTTCTTAGAGAATAAGAAATTAACCTGCAAGTTACAACTTATAAAACACTAACTATAACAGTTATCTAACAGTTGGAGTTTTTTTTTCCAAATTAGATTTTTAACACCATATTAAGGTATTAGAACATCTCCAATCCCATTATATTTTGCAGTAAATTATAAAGTATGATTGGAAATGCTCTTAACAACTTGGTCTAAATACCTTCTAGTTATTAAAAAAACACCAAGAGAAACTCAATCATAGTGTTCACTGTTTAGGACATTTTTAGCCACGTTTTAACGATCAGTTTTCTATTTTATTAATGTAGTCCACAGTTTACGCCAAAGACAAATTAGCTACAAACCAAAATAAACAACGCTACTATTCATTAATGTTATTTAAAAGTATATAGTATTTAGGAGAAGTATTTCGAGGAGTGACGATGACACTTCATGCTGAGATCATGCATCCGCAATAACCCACGTGGCGCACATGTAAATGGGTTTGGTCGTCAACCACAGAATTGTGGCCCCACTTTTCTCTCTACCGTTGCCTTCATTCTGAGATTTTGTACCTTCGTATGTACCCAATACCCTCTCATTACTACACTCTCCTATTTTTATCTCATTTTTTTGTTTGTTTGCTTAAACTTTGGATATATTTATCTGAATTTTAAGTTATTTTATAGCTATTTTATATACTATTTTATATACTATATTTGTACAAGTACTGAAAATATAGCACTTACAATTTGAATGAAGATTTAAAAGATTTTATAAAATAAATTCACGGATTAAAATTGGATAAAAATATAATATTGCCGACCAAAAAATTAAATTCTGAACGAAAAATAAACACACCAATCAAATTTGAACGAATATTTTGGATGATACAACTATAAAATTATAGATTAATGTGTTTTGGCTTTACTGTGGCCGCAAGATTACCACAGAAATTCAAACATCATACATCTGTCAGTTTAACAAAGAATTTGACCTAAAATTAGCAAAGAAACAATATTCCATATATATAAATAAGCTAACAAATTAAATGATTTTTAATAATAATGATTTAAGTATGTATGAAGAAAACTTTAAAACTTATCAATCTTTCTCATATGCAGTCCCCCTCAAGTAGCAATCAGTGGCTTTTGTTATAAAATTGAGATCCACACAAACTCAAAGACTGCTCAAAAGATTGAGAGTTCAACTGATTTCGTTTCTTTGGACCCACTTATTCTCTCTTAAAATAATTGACACTACTGTTATTTAGTTGCTTCAAATAATTGACTGGTTATTTTAATTATAACTATTACTATTTTTGCTGTTATTATTTTATAACTTACTAAACAATTCATCAGCTGAGTTAAAAAGGAGAGCATAGCAGTAAGCAAAGCCCCAATGAATAGAAGGAGTGTGTACGTGCTCTCCTCAACTTTGCTTCAGATTTCTCCAAGGTTATAAAAATTAAATTATTTGTTTGTATATGATAAAAATTTGAACTTATAAACCATATTGGGCTTTGGATGATCTATTGCTTACGCTTACTCACGCACATGCCCACTGCCACACGCGTGATCAAGAGATCTTTGTCTTCTTTAGTTTGTCCTCAACTATCACTCAAATACATTTTCATTATTTCATTAGAGTATCACTTATCTTATATATACCTATCGTTTGCGTTTATATAAATGCATTAAGAATATAGAAAACTTGAAAGCTAAGGTATCTCTTGGTCCAAAAGTACATAAAATATACTACGAAATTAATTAAATATCAACCAAGTTACAAAAAAGTACTAATTACTGTTTCAATTAACCAGATATCTTAACTTTACCAAATTGAAATATAAAACAATACAATAAATTTACAATTGGATTGCTTAAGAAAACAAAGACACCAAAAATTAGAAAAAGTAATTTTATTTTAATATATAGACTAAGATCTCAAACAAATGGTCTCTGAGAGAAGAAATACGTGGTGTTAATAATGAAGAAGTGTGATATTGGTACTAACAAAAGAAAGAAGAAGCAATGAACAAATCAAACTTTGCGATATTAATTTACTTTAAAGAAAGCCTTAACTTAATTAACCTTTTAATTAATGGATGAGAGTAGAGCGGATTGGATTGGATATAGTTTCGGCTAATTGTTGTGTGCAGTAGACGTAACCATCAAACTAATGGAAGTTAGGCAAAAGCCAAAGTCAAACTCGTCAAGGCCCTTCATACTCACATGCCCACATCTTGTTGTGTTCTATCTTTTACATTGTTTTTTTTGCAAAATGCTTTCGTTCTTATCTTTACATACTTCTTTAAGCTTATTTAGTTTTTATAGCTTGACTTTTCGTTTTTTTTTTAATTTGTGTTGGAATAATTTTTTTGTGTGTTTATCTAAATGATCCTATAATCTTCAAATCACTTTATTAGACAAAATTCAACTATTAATTGTAAAAATAAAATGAATATATGTGGTAATCAATGCAATCTAAAGAAGTAGAATAATTTTTAGTTGCACATCACACATCATATCCAACACATAAAAGTTTTTTAGTGGAAGTCATGTATGTTTTAAATAAACTAAAGTTAAAAATTGTTACATCTCATCAAGTATCCAAAAGGATTTGACTACTCCCACTCCTGGTAAGACCTAATTATTACATTACACAATAATCATTCCTAAATCCAAGTTGATCACCATACTAATCTTCCATAAGATGAAGATATAACATTAGACAAGACTCTGTCTTATCTGCTAAGTCCCAAGATCAGATAGATATGGTGAAAACGAGATACAATATCTGGAAAATAAAAGTAACCACTCATAAAGTGATGACTGTATAGTAAGACAGTCCACAAGTAAAATGCTGCTACAATATGATTTTGAAGTCGAAAAAATGTAACACGACTGACTTCTAGTGCTAAGGCCTGAGTAGTGATGTCCCATTAAGAATCACTTTCAAGTTTCTGGGAAGTTAAAAAAAGTATGATCTTCTAAGATTGAGGTTATATAATAACACGTGCAGTTGCAATTTCAAGTCTCATGATGTCAAATCATGAAAATAGAATTTGACAATGTTGGAAAGATATAACAATCCAATTCAAATCCAAAATGTGTGTGTAAGTGTGATTTTTCTTTTTATATCTAAGATAAGGTTATCCACATATTGTGAGAATAACCTAATCAAGTAAAAAGGAACAAGTTTACCTTTAAAGGTTTAACTTTTTCATCTTTTTATGTAGATAAATAAATAAACTCTGCATTAACTATACATCTGGAGACTTTGCTGCACGCTGCTAAGCTAATAACTACCTTACAATAGTTATGATTTCTACAGAGTTCTGAACTACAAGCGTCTCAGTAAATGTGTGGTGTCTAGTAGAGAGAGAGAATACCTGAAACGGAATCTCTAAGTTATGAGACAATGACAATACCAGACTGCATGAAGATGAAACAGGAAATCAAATTTGAGTTTGCTTAGAGTAAAATAATCTTACAAGACTTGAACTACTTTACTTACATCGTCTACTATGAATCGGTCAATGCTACTAAGTTGCGGTTGTAACCATTCAAGTGAGTATGCCGACAAAGTATTTTGTCCCGACGACTGGTGATCACCTGCAGAGATCATAAACGGGACTGAACAAAGACAAATAGAGAAAGCGAAAGAGCTAAACGAAAAGGACCGAGAAAAATATATCATACCTGACTTCCGTATGAATATCTTATGTGTCACAAATGCCTGCAATGACCACAAACGAGTGTTAGTGAGACATAATCATCCGTTGAAACTCTCAGTAAATTTGGCAGATTTAATAGGGGAAGTAAAATCTATTCTCATGATTACTACCAGTGACAATGATCTCAGAAAATGACCTGCCAAGAAGAAGGCATGAATTCACGGAATGGAGGCTGCTGAGCTTTACTTGAAGCATTCCCTGACAGATCATTGTTTGAGGAGAGCTTCCTGAAGTTTGCGGGAAGTTAGAGATGAAGCCACTATGACAACATAGAAGAAGCTGTGCGATTAACCAACTAACCGATTATTCTCATTTGTCGGGTATTTTTCTTCGTAGATTGTAGCTTTAGTGGCAATTACTACCAGTGAGTGCACCTGCATTAGCTTCTTCATCTCTTGCACTATCGTCTCCACCACATTCGTTAGAGACAGACTTTTCCTGTTTATCAAAGATATAAGAGTTTCAAAGTATCAGACTCAAAGTTCCAAACTCTTCAACGTGTTGAAAGTAAGCTAAAAGACACTTGATCTAACTAAAGCAACCTAGCTTGAACAAAAAGCAGAGAAGCTGTAACCTTACGCTGTAACACGACACTGAACCTTTTTAGGTTTACATGTGGCAGGACTTAATACGAAGAAGCCGAATTATAAGACAGTAAGTAGTGTCTCCTTTAGACTGTATTTATGCAAACATATTACCTGTTATTTTTATCCAATGCCAATGATGACGATAAACGATCAGTCCAGTGGAAAGCACCGATGCTGGTGAAAAGATTGCAGAATAGTTAGTTCAAATTCGTCATGTTTGCTGCTATATCGTAGCAACCATAAGACCCTACAATCCATCTGAGACAAATATATTGGACTAGGTTATCTTATCTAGCCAATATGTGATCAATAAAAGCTGTACTTAACCTATTCCTGACCTACTATGAATTAGTTTCAGCGTTCAAAGGATAAAAAGCAATGGAATTGTCCTGGACGGAATCTTAGAAGACAAACCTGTCAATCATAAGCACCCCGACTTGGCTTCCACACGCTTCCTGCAGTCTAATCCGATAATGCAATGTCTGCAACACAAAGATAGAAACTTGTTAACAGGGTCCTAAAATCCAACCCAAACTTCACAATGTTAACACTCACCATACCTTGAGACTGGACAAAAGTTCGAGACTGTCATAGCAACGAAGATACAAGAACCTCTTCATACACGAAACGTACAACTCCTCATCATAAACAATCTTTGCCTTGTCTTGCGCAGATCTGCAAGTCTTAACATTTGATTTTTCAAGCTGCCACCATGCTCCATTACCTAGTCCTGATTATATATGACTGAGATTGTCTCAGTTTCATGAACTTGAACTCAAAATCAATCCCAAAGGCCAATGCTCACAGCGTAATGAACCCTAAGCTTACAAGACTCTACTCAAACTCAAAATCAAAGACGATGCTTAAGCTTATAAGATAAACGCAGCACATCGAATCGGTAATCCTACATTCAACCATCTCAATCTATCTATATATGACTAAGATTGTTTCAGTTTCATGAATCTAATGCTCACAACGTAATGTATCCTAAGCTTACAAGAATCTACTTAAAAATCAAAATCAAAATACGAAGAGATGTGTTTGCATACGGTTAGCTTCGAGAAGACGACACTTAAGCATATCAGATAAACGCATCACATCGAATCTGCAATCTAGATCGAGAAACAACACCAGTTTCCCTAATCCTCCGTAGTGGACGCCGTTCCACGTCTTCGGGAGGATGCAAGTGATGGCAGATTGAATCAGGATCTGAGTTTTCGCGGTGGGAGACGAGCCAGTGATCTCGACTACGTTTCCCGCGCGTAGAGGGACACGGTGAAGTGGCGGGAGGAGTAGTAATGTACGGTCTCCGAGAACTCTCGATAGCATCTGCGCAGCGGTCTCGTCGCTGCGGATCCAATCACGCGCTGCTTCGTGTTCTCCCATCGCAAAACTAACTTTTCCCGCCGACGTGAAGGTCTCTCGGTGAGTGAGTGGTAGTGGTCTTGGCAGGTTCGATGTGGGCCTTTACATGGGCCTTGAGTGATGGGTCATTTCATTTATCTATATACGTAACGACGTCGTTGAGCTCGTTGATAAAAAATAAAATAATATGGCTTCGCCCGGGTTCGAACCGGAGACCTTCAGTGTGTTAGACTGACGTGATAACCAACTACACCACGAAACCTTTGATGTTATTCGAGTGATAGTTAACTTGTGATGATATCAAAGTGACAAAAACTATTTTTGAAGATAAAGAGTAATACACTAGTTCTCTTTACTTAAGTTGCAGATAAAGTTTGACAGCACGTGAAGTTGTTTGCTAAGAGGGATTTATGAGTGCATTTCTACATAGCACACACAAATGGAATCTAAGCTACTACAATTAGCTTCACGGCTGGAGTTAAGTTTGGAAAGTCTTGTGAGCATCACAAGCCATATAAACTCTTGGAGGAGAGGTGAACATTGTGATCTAGCTAAGTGTCCAATTGATAGAGGAATCATTGTTGATGGTTGGTTATGTGATCTTAATGTAGCATTTGTGTGTTGGAAGAATGTATTATATTAGCACAATAAAACACTCCAAAGTTTATTATATTAAAAGTAACAAACAAACACATGAAACTTGCATATCTGAAATGTTGTTATTTGATGATATCCAGACTCTCAGCATATCAAAGCTGAATAATTTTTAGACACCACAACAAGAAACGAAACAAGCTTCAGGCACTAAGACCAGAACCGGAGTTCTTCTTGCATTCAGACAGCATGTCCATGTAGAACTGACACTTGCTAATGTCGCTTCCATAGCTGCTGATACACTGCACCCAATAACCAAAACAACAACAAAAAAAACATCAGTCACATAAACCTTTCAAATCTAATGACAAATCCAAGGATGCAGGACAAATATCTTAAAAATGAATTCAATCAAAACGTTCCATCATGCCTGTTCGGATCTCATTCACATAGAAACTTGACAAATAACAGAAAATGAGAAAGAGGTTTCAACACTTACATCTTGGAAAGCCTTAGCATGAATGTCACAGGAGCTAGAGAACATGCTGCTTCCGACAGGAGCAGCAGAAGCAGAGGTAGCCGCCTCAACAGCTTCATGCTGAATGGTCCTAGGGCCCATGACGGAATCAACAGCCCTATGCGCAACTGCACTTCCGGTTCCAAAAGCCATACCTATAGTAATCCCCCCAAAAAACACATAGGTAAGTAGAGACACGTTTTTAAAACCAACCACTTTGGTCTTGACTTTGAACTTGTTATATAAAACAAAAGTTGTCTAATATTTACCCTGAGCAATGGTGGAACCTATGCCTGAGAACATGCCACCACCACTGGTGGCCTGAGCTGGAGCTGGAGGAGGTGCACGGTTTACTGAAAAACAAACAAAAATCATTAGCGGATTTGATTTGATTGAATAGTTATACCAAACAGAACAATTAGACAAATAAGGAAAAAAAGATGTACCAGGCTGAGGAGCGGGGCTGCGTGCAGCAGCAGGGCGAGGACGAGGTGCAGATCTTCCTGTAACCAAACCGTACACGAATCAAAACACAATTCACAAAAAATAATCTACGAATTGATAATTAAATATGCCTAAATAGATTATAATATTCCAGCAATTGAAGCGTATCTTCTATAATCAAACATCCGATAAAACCCTAGATCGGTGATTCAGGCATAGAAGAAATACACGACAGTTTCGTTACTATCCAGAGTTGTATAATCGAATAGATATGAAATTTCAGGAGGAAGAGGGGAAGCTCTTACCTCCGGAGCTACGGCGACCCATTTTTTTGTGATTAGGAAGATGAAGACGACGAAATGGAAAAGAAATGGATAAGAGAGATTAGAGACAAATTGAGAATATTCGCGGAACCTATTTTGGAGTCGGTGTATTTATAAAAGACCAGGTCAAGACCACGCGGATATGTACACGTGTACGATCCCTATTCGTTGATAAGTTGATATTTTCTAGATAATCGTGTGTTTCGTTGTGATAATCACATTAACAAATTTGGGCTTCATGATAGGCCCACTAAGCTATCTTCCCTTATAGGTATCATTAGGTTCATCAAATTTTGTCTGAAAGTGAAAAAACTAGAGCAGACAACAAACTGTGTCGCTGTTAAATGGTTATAATGGAACAGAGAAACTAAAAGTTAAATAATGAGATTAAAGCTGCACTATTATTATTATTATTTCTTGAGTTACATTAGATAGATGAATACAGAAGCAACTGCCTCCTACATATTCAGAGGACTTTCAACAAGCATTAAAAACATTCAAATTATCTCGGCTCCTACATTCTCAGAGCTTATTCCATTTACCATGACTAACCCTACTAAGATCCAACACATTAAAGCAATAAGACCCTTTTTTTTTTGTTATGAAGAATTCTTGTGGAGCATTGGGTCAGAAACAACTTGAGGCTTAAACTCTGGCTTTATATACTTACCCAAAAGATCAGCATAGACTTCATATCTTGCAGTCATTCTAAATCCCCACTTGTCTTTGTACTGCCTACACAGATTAAGATCCATATCTGAGATCAATAACCCATCTCTGTAGCGTGACAGAGACGGTGTGCAAGAAGCATCAGGTGCAGAGAAATGGCTTGATCCATAGAAATGACCAAAGTCATTGTGTTGTGGTTTCCCATCTCCTGAGGTGAATGCATTAGGGAACACTTCTGTTCCAACTCTGTTGATAGATCCCACAAAGTAACTGTTTGCTATTGCAGCATTTCTTGCCTGAGTAAGTAAAACATAAGACCATGTTTGTTTATACATAGAGAATTCTTTAAAAGATTTGTAAACAGAGCCGCTCCTAAGCTTAGAGAAATGAAGCATTTGCATATGGTTCCAAAATATCATTTGGCCTCTAAATTGATTTTAAAAATGTTTGTTTAGTAATTATTTCAAGTCATTATCACTAAAAACTCATTGGGTTTCTTAATTTTGTTTTTGTCTAAAAAATAAATAATAATAATTTATAAGCGAACCAATCGCAGCAGCCGCCACGTGTCAGTGGGGTCTGCGAACATTGCAAGAAAACCACCCCAATCAGTTCTTAATTCATAGTTCTGGTAACCACTCTTATACTGTTCATAGGATCCACGCAATAAAAAACCCCTAAGAAACCCCTATAATCATGCTCTTATAAATCTCTGGTTCTAAGTGCAAGAAATGGAGAGGTAAGAAGTTAAAACCTCAATAGGCCACATTGGTTCACTGAGTTCACCAACAGTAGCTGAAGGGTTGAAGACAATCTCAGCACCATTTAGACCAAAACCTAACCAGTTTAGAGGATGATGTCTTCCATAACATATATTAACTGCAATTTTCCCAAACACCGTCTCAAACACAGGATGGCCAGTGTCTCCTTCCATGTAATATGTGCTCTCGTTGAAATCTCCTACTCTCGGTATGTGGTTCTGTTCACACCATGCAATACAAGTTAGCACATAAAGAGAAAAAAGACAAAGCAAGAAGAGACACTCTAGTGCTAATTAAGTTTATACCTTTCGATGTTTGCCAATGATGTTTCCGTTGTTCCCTATAATCACAGCAGTGTTCCAAAGTACTTCACCGTGATCCATATCTCTTTCAAGAATAGGATTCACAATCACCATGTTATACTTCTTGGCAAATTCTTGAAGAAACTTTGTTGATTCGCCATCGATAGGCTCTGCAAACTCGCACCATTTCTTCTCTCTTGTACAGAATGCAAACGGCATAGTCCAAGCTTCCTATAAGTAGAACCATCTCAAAGTGTTAAATGAACTAAACTGAAAATCTATTAAAGAAGAAAGTAAATGGAGGCAAAACCTGTAAGCAGAGTATGTTAACACCAGCAACACCTGCAGCTTCGATGATTGGTTTCAACTTGTTGTATATTCCTCGTGTTTGGTCCAAGAATAGAGCAGTGGTTGGAAGAGCAATGGAGTTTTGAATGAGACCAACTCTTACCACTCGTGGCTTTCTCATTTGCTCTTTATCTGCTGAGAAGCTAACAGCCTAGAAAATAATTTGTGTCCAAAAGATCAAAACAAAACACTCTATTTTCACTCAAATGATTATTGGATCATTTAGTAAATAAATAAAATAAGTATAAACCTGGAGATCAAAACCATGTTTTGAAGAGAGGTCTTTTGCAGAGTCTGGTAAAACAATCTGTTCAAGTGGTCTACCACAGTTACTTCCAAGTAGTATTCTACTTACCTCCTGCAAAATCAGACAACCAACGATCCAGTTTTAGTTTTTTTTTTCTTCTTACAGTAGTAACTAAACACAACAAATCATTACAAATCAAGAAAACATTTTAACTAATAGTGGCTAATCAAGAACCATGACACATATAATAAAAAGTCAACGTAAGAAGCAAAACTTCACGAGACTATAGCAAATTTAAAACCAAGAATCCAAATCACTGGTTAGCTTTACCTGATAGAGCTCAGGCTTCAGGTTCGAGGCTAAGAGCTGATCCAACGAATCATATCCACAAATCGATCCTTTGGTTACTGCTTCTCCGTTTTCTGAGATGTTCTTATCCATTTTGTATAAAGAGTTTTTTTTTTTTCACAAGTCTTCTCAAGTTTCGATCACGGAACCAAGATGGTGATAACTTTGATGAGACACTAATAATGATCGGCTTAGGAGTATTTATTTATTCGGGAAGGAATCATTTGGCAACTCATTTCTTGGCAGTTTCTTTCTACCTAAAATCATTTATTTAATGGATTCCAACATGTGTTGATGATACAGTTAAGTGTTTTTAAATCTAACACCATGTGCTGATGACTTGATGAGTAGAATGGCTACTTCATTTTCGAGGTTACCATCTGAATTATGAACTTAATATAGTTTCTTTTCACACATTTTCCTCATAGTTCCAAGTCGTTGATTCAGTCCATGAATTATATTCACTAGATACTTTTGCCAAACTCAGTTTTAAAGAAAATGAAAATTATTTTTGCCAAAAAAAAAAAAAGTATGTTTTAACGCCGTCTGTGGGAATCGAACCCACGGCCACGGGATTAAAAGTCACGCGCTCTACCACTGAGCTAAGACGGCCCGTTGAATTATTGTGATGATCTTGTAAATCTCATTAGTTTGAATCTCTGTAATAATGCAAACCAATTCTTTGTTCTGTTGTTGTGTCTTTGAGTCTCTGTTCTTTCTTCATGTATTGTCAAGATGATTTGGTTTTGTAATATACTAATGGGATATATCATTAGGGACATAGCATTACAAATTAGGAATTTCTCCAAAAGCATCAAATCAAGAAATTGAGTTCCTCCATCGCCTCGGTTCCTAGATATAGAAGGTTTCTAGAAGATATAGAAGGGCAACCAAAAGGATCTGAAGGAGGATGCACACTCCAAAGCCTCCTCTCTCCACAGTTTCACAAACCAAATGAAACTAGTCAACCAAATAGTACATAACAAGTAACAATGTTGAAAAGAATTGCAACACAAAGAGTAGAAAAAAGAATCAGATCAAAGATTAAACTCCTCAGATTCAGATCAAAAGTCTTTCATTGCATTGCTTGGTCTTCTGTGTCTATGTTTCCTTTCTGGTGTTTTCATGAAGTATTATCTATATTTCTTCCCTGGTCTGATTTGATTCGTTTCATCCTGATTCTCCAGCTTAAAGACTCATGACTCAGTAGCTGCTGCATCATCATCAATCTTCTCCACAACATCATCACCATTGAACTTCAAGCCATACATATGACCCATCTTACTCCTCTTTGTCTCCAAATATCTCTTATTCTCCTTTGTAATAAGACTCAAAAGAGGCACTCTTCCCACAATAGCTAATCCATATCCTTTCAAACCAACATACTTAGCAGGATTATTCGTCATCAACTTCATCGTCCTCACTCCCAAATCCCTTAGTATCTGTGCACCAATTCCATACTCTCTAGAGTCAACGGGAAGTCCTAGTTCCTCATTAGCTTCAACTGTATCCCTCCCAGCATCTTGCAGATTATAAGCTCTAAGCTTATGTCCTAAACCAATCCCTCTTCCTTCGTGTCCACGTAAGTAAACCAACACACCACGACCTGTAGACTCAATCTGCTGCATCGCAAGAGCTAGCTGGTTCCCACAGTCACATCTTGCTGAACCAAATATGTCTCCAGTGAGACATTCTGAATGAACCCTCACAAGTATGTCTTGACCATCACCAATCTCTCCCTGCCATAGTTTCAGACAAAAATGAGTTTAAGGCCTAGAGAGGTTGGATTCTGTAATGACAGCATTGGTACTAACCTTAACCATAGCAATGTGCTCTATGCCGTCTAGTATAGACTTGTAGCAATAAGCTGTGAAAGGTCCCCACATTGTCGGAATCCGAGCTGCAGAAGAACGTTCAACTAACTTATCTCTCTTCCTTCGGTATCTGATCATTACAGAAACCATAAAAGTTTAGAATCTCAGCTTCAAAAGAGACACAGACTCAAAGTGGCTGTGGCCTAACCTGATCAAATCTGCAATGGAAACAATTTTGAGGCTATTCTCAGCTGCAAACTCACGGAGCTTTGGTAATCTAGCCATGGAACCATCATCATCAACAATCTCACATAATACTCCAACAGGATCTAGTCCAGCTAAGACAGTAAGATCTAGAGATGCTTCAGTGTGTCCAGCTCTTTTCAGAACCCCACCTTCTCGGTACTTGAGTGGGAAGATATGACCTGGACGGTTGAAATCTTCAGGCTTTGAGTCTCTTGATGCAAGGGACAGTATCGTTGTTGCCCTGTCACGAGCTGATACTCCTGTCGTTGTACCATGTTTTGCATCCTATAAAGACACAAACACAACACAATGTTCAAGAAATAGCTAGACAGTAACTATATATCATGTTTAACCAATTCTTGATTATGTTCATTTTTACAGATTTAGACAATGTTTGGAACCATGACAAAACATGAGCAACAGATTCTCCAAAACTCAGCACATAGATGGAAGCTTTTATTGAGAGAGAAGAAAGACATACATACCACAGTGACTGTGAATGCAGTGCAGAGCTTCTCTTCATTCTCCTTCTGATTCACCATAAGAGGAAGATTCAACCTCTGGAGATCATCTTCTTTCATACTCACACAAACTATACCAGTTCCATGCTTGACAATAAAAGCCATAGCCTCAGGTGTAGCTAACTGAGCAGCCATGATCAAGTCTCCTTCGTTTTCTCTGTCTTCATCATCAACAACCACCACAAGCTACACAAACATTACCACCAAACAATCAAGTTTTCTGATTTTATGTTATTAAATTAAGATTTCAAAACATTGTATTACTTTTGATTTTTAAAAATAATTTATCTTTTTTTCTGTAATACATTTCAAAAAAATAATACTTTAGCATCTAACAGCATTACAATCAAAAGGATAACAAATATATAAAGTTGAATGAAACTTTATTTTAATTTTTTTCTGTAATACATTTCAAAAAATAATACTTTAGCATCTAACAACATTACAAGCAAAAGGATAACAAACATATAAAGGTTGAATGAAACTTTATTCTAATAAATTTTTTAAAAAAAAGAACGAACCTTTCCTTGACGTATGTCTTCAATGGCTTCAGGGATAGAAGAGAAACCAGGTGTTGGTAGATCCAGCTCGTAGTCATCATCTTCAGCTACAAAACCATTGGCTGGTGGAGGAGATGATGAGTCTTCGTTAATGAGTGAACCATTGGTGTAAGAAGAGAGAAGATCATCTTCTCTAGAGATGATTGAAGCTTTAACTTTTAAAGTGGTTTTAATGGAGAAGGGTGATGATAATGATTGATGGTAAGATGGTAAAGTGATACGGTGGAGCAATGTAGTAGAACTTTGCCTAAGTCTGCACAAGAAGATATATACAATTCATTTCTAATCACAGATTCTTAGATTCAGAATCTTTAATAGAGATTGAGATTGGGAAGAGAGGAAGCTGTACCTTGAGCGGGAGAGAGATATGGTGGAAGACGATAGATTGATCGAAGACATGTCTCTCTCTCTAATAAACCCTTTTGAGAAAGCACGAGGCTTTATGAAGAAGAAGATGAGGAGAAAGGTGGGGTTTAGGTAGGTGAAGATAGAGATTAGAGAAGCTTATTCTAATATGGAGGCGCGAGTTGGTGAAAATGGAAGAGAATAAGAATTTTAAAGGGATGTGATTCGGTGATGGGATAAGACAGAACCACCACTTTGCTTTGCTTGGCTCTTGTCTCCCTCCAACACCGTTTTTCTTTTGTAGATTTTTTTTTTTTTTTTTTTTTCAGTTTTCATCTTCTTCTTCTGT